GGTAAGAATAGAAAAGATGAGAAAATATATCAGCCTTCTAAGATTAAACACTATACTCTTCTGTCGGGAACCTGGAGTCCTAAACTAAAATGTTTCCCTTCCGATCCCCAATAGCAGAAGCTGCACCTCACGTAATTGCTTCCAAGGGGGAAATATTACTTATTCTTTCTGACTGGCTGTCACCGTGCTTGGAGTTAATCCTCCTGAAATGCCCAGCTCCATATAATTTGTAAGAATCTCTCTGTGGCAGTGTGAGAAGTAAACTTATTTGTCCATGTGTGAGGGACTGTTAGTTCCCAAAGCACAAAAGATTTTATTAAGAAGATGACAACTGTTTCTGGTTTTCCAGTCCAAATGCTGTGGATTTCTACACTGTCCTACATCGTGTTCAGACAGTGGACTGACAATTCTCCACGCGGCTGCTTTTGAGAGCAGCCTTTGATGGAGCTACGTCTTCTGTTCCTTCATCATCTACGTTCACCTGCTCCGTAACGGCACCCCTCTCCCTCACAGGCCTGCCCCACATGCACCCTCTCCTCATTGCCTCTGACCCCCCAGATCTCCCCCACCTGGCTCATCTGGCAACTTTAGCTCTTACCCAAAGACCTATTTAAAATTATAATCCCTCCAAACACTTCCTATACCTCTTTCTTCCTTTAGATATTTTCCAGAGCTTTTATGCCATACGACGTACCTCTCATTTTTATTTTCTTTATTATCTATTTTCTCTCATCTAGGATAAATGCTCCACGAAGACAAAAGACCTCTGTCCCTTTCATGAGCTGCTATATTCTCAGCCCTTACTGTAGGCACTCAAAGATTGCTGACCTAACAAAGGACTTTGCCATTAGAACTATCCAATCTGAAATATTCCTGTGAGATCACCTGTATACTGGGAGTACTTATTCCCACTTTGCCAATGAGAATAGTGAGAGTCCCACTCAACATAAAGATACGGTTGTTGCCTGCTCAATCTGGACTCCTCATACTTATAAACTAGCCAGGAAATAAAGGCATTAATAACTGATAAGGTAAATTACCTGGTGACCAGGACTAAGAGGGCACCTGCTGTATGCTGGTGGGTGGGAAGAATGTATTAGGCACTTGGGAGATTCCCTGGGGCATCTCATGGCGTTCTCGTTTCCAGTTATAACCATCACTATATTAGCACCACAACCATGCTGTGAAGAGCACAGTAATCTAAGGCTCAGAACCCTCAGGAAAACACCAGGCAAGTCTCCTATATAATCAAAAGTACTAGCTAAAAGAGAGAAAAATCTAGATTGTTGGGGACAGCAGATGATAGGTATCAATAATGGCCTTGATACCACCTGCGTTAGTGGTGCCGCCCCACTATTCCTCCTCAAGTAAGTTTTCTTGGAAACTGTGACCAACCAGAATTTTGGAGAAGCTCTGCCTGGATAGAGGGACCCTATGTGAGAAGCAGGTGAATCTGAAGGGAGTAGCCTGCTGTGGGCCTTTCCTCCACTTGCTATAGGCGTTGGGTCATTACAGTGACAGACACACCCTTCTCTGGAGACTTCCCCTATGCTAAAGAGGGGCCGCTTCCTTGGGGAGGCCAATCCCTGCAGTGGGGAACAGAGCAATAGCCAAGGGCCAGCAGACACAGGGCTGAAGAGGCCGTCCATCTCACCTCCAGGAGGGATGACCTCAGTGGGACAATTCATGGTTCAGAGCTTCCCCACAGAAGCATACTGGGCTGTTCCAGCTGGGGCTCTATTTGTGTTCAGTGTTTGACCTCCTGCTCCTTCCTGCTCCTCTCCCTGCCCTTCTTCTGAGAGGACTCTTTCAATAAATCACATAAACAGGAACTCCTGCCTTGCCTCTGCTTCCCGGGAACCTGAGGAAGATGAGAGGCACATGCAAATTGTCTCTGGAAGCATGCATCCCAGGCAGAAGCCTCTCAGATCCTCACAGATAGGATTCCAATGACCAGCGCACAAAACTAACAGGAAAATTCACAAAACTCTAGAATAAATAAGAGCATGAGAGCAACTGAAAGGAGACAAATCTCATAAAATACAATCATCAGGTGCAAAATACATGTATGGAAAATAGAAGAGAAACTGAAGGCATGAATGATAACAAAACCTATCAGAGCAGGCACAGGAGAAAGAAGAAAGAATTCAGTGCATAACAGTGAACACAATTAAATCTCAGTAATTAGACTAAAGAGCAGATTAGACCCAAGGAAACAAAGAATCAATGTGGTAGAAAGATGTGGATAAATATCTGAGAATACAACACAGAGAGCCCTGAAAGTGAAAACATAAAATGCAGGTTCAGAGACACGGAGCAGAGAGCGAACATGCCGCATCCTCCTGACAGCTGGCCAGAGTCCCATTTGCAGAGAGAAAGGTGGGCAAACTATTATTTCAGGAGATGATGCCTACAATTTTTCAGAGTTCATGAGAAACACCAATCCACAGATTCAGCACATCAACTAAACCCCAAATTGTGTAAACAAGAAGAAATTCACTATGAGACATCCACAGAGTGGGCTGAGGCAAGCCCGGCTCAATCTGAGTCCTGATTCGAGCAGCTAATAACTGGGCAATCTGAGACATCACTGAACTTTTCTTTGTCATAGTTGTCAGAGTTTCCAACCTGTAAAAATGGTTCTAAAAATAGTACCTACTTTATTGACTATTATGAAGATTAAATGAGTTGATGTTTCCAATGCTTGTTACTGCCACCGGAGTCATCATCTTGAATTCTCACCAGAATGTTCTGGATGAGAACTGATTCCTTATTAATTGCCTACCCATAAGCTGTATGTGAACTGGCCTGCTTTGCCCTAAGATTTAACCCTAATGGAAGCCAAACCAAGCATCCTGCACAAGAAGCCAAACGCCCAAAGATGAGCAACAAAAACAGTGGGTTTTTTTCTCTTTATATTCAGAAGAAAGACAACCATTCCCCTCCCCTCCTAAACGGAGAGAAAAATGTTTGGCTCCTTTGCCATAGAAAGATCCCAGGTTCTGGCCATAACCAGGTAGAATGTAAATATATCCTTCCAACAGCCAGAGACACCCCAGATAGAGCCAGAGACTGGGCTTTATTCCTGGGAAGAAAACACCCCCATATTTCTTGGATGGTGAGGACGCCAGCGTTTCCTTCATGAACATGATCTACAACTACACATACGTGACATTTACGATTTTATGTGTAAAACAGCTCTAAACAAAGAGGGCATTTTCTACAGAAAGTATAAAGAAAGGAAGAATAAAAGGAAGCAAGGGGAAAGTAGGAAGGAGAGAAGTGGGAGAGACCTTTCATAAAATCTTCATCCAAAATAGCACTGGCATGGTAGAAATGGAACAGAAAAATAAGTTTAAAAAAATCTCTATTTTCTATAATGTACTGCATTTGACAATTTAGGTAAATTTTCTGATACAGTGTGTAATTTCTTATGTTTAAGCACTATTTTCTTGGCAAGGTGTAATAAAAAATACTAGTTCTGCAGGTAGCATAGAACACAACTCAACTTACAGATTCTTCAGAGCAGCTCTGAGAATGCACGGGATATGCACCCTGGGCAATCCCCACAGCGCGGCTTTGCAGATGGGAAAGTGCCCTTACAATGGACATTTGCTGTGCCAGGCAGACACCCACAATTGCTGTGAATTCTCCCAGTTCTCTCAAGTACATTTTTATAGACTGGGAAGGGCCTGGGGCCACCAACACTGGGGAGAGAACAATGGCATGGTTCTCTTGTTAGGCCCAAGGCAGGGCCTACCCCCCACCCCCGCCATTTGTAGCTCTTTTAAAAGGTATTTAGTGCTACTTTGTTCTGAGATCTGGTTCACTGTTGCCAATTTGGAGCCACGGGGAGGATCCACCTGGACATCTTTTTAATTTTACACTGAAAACAATCATTAAAGAGAATGTAAAATGTGCTTTGTAGATCAGTGTGCTGTATTAAAGGAAAGAAGAAAAAATACGTTTATACACACACATACAAACACACATGCACACACGTGCACACACTGTGGGCAGAAAACAGGATTATGAAATACAGGGACTCTTCATAAAATTCCATTTTACAAGATGTTTCTTTTAGGTTTTCAATACAGGAGAAGAGGTCTGTCTTACAGGCATCGGTCCCCACACACACCTTTCCTCCCTCTGGTGGTAATGTTCTGTGTAATGCTAATTAAACGGACGTGTGCAACTAGTTTGCAGGTTACAGGATTCAAGGCAGTCTGAATTCTTCCTTCATCTAAAAATAGAATAAGAAAGTAACCTGCTAGTCTCTAGCCTTTATAGTAAGTAGACTGAGAATTGAATTGTAAAGTCATATTTCACAGAAAAATCTAAATTGACTTCTCAGGTTATGAATACTTGATTATGGTAGGAACAGTTCAGAAATAGCCCCATTTTAATTCACTTAGAAAAGGCAGCTATTCATTATACTGAGTCTTGTGGCCAGGAAAGAGGCCAGAGAGAGCATAATTTTCCACTGTCGAGCTTAATCCACTTAGAGAACAGACATTCTCAGTCTGTTCCACAGCAGACGGGGGCTGCGGAGCACCATACTTGGGGAAGTGTTAGTGGTGATCCAAGTGGAACTCTGACCTAAAGGAACATGACCCACAAAAAACGCTAACAGCAAATGTACATGTAGACGTATTAAGAACGCACATATTATTCAAGATGCTCTCTTTACGAGGATGAGCACCATCTGGGACTGATCTTTAACATCTTAACATCACTATCTTGAAAGGAAAGGAGAGGCAGAGATACAATTTCATTTACTTTGAACACTATTTTCGGAAATGGAAGTAATTCTGGAAATATCATGTTTCCCTGCCAAAGTCATCTTAAGAATAACTCTCCGCATTTTTACTTAAAGGGAATTGCCAGGGAAAACCTGTACCTAGTGAAAGTTAACGGACCAGTGGAAACAGAACACAACAGTCTACGTGAATGGGAGTTATAGTCTACAGATAGTTGAGAAAGGAAACAGAACGGCTTACCTTTATGATGGTTGCCACTGGATACAACTTTCCCCCACAAGGTTACAAGGAAGATTATTATTAGCAGTTTTCCTTTTGTTGCTTTCTGTAATTGTCTCTTACTCATCCTGAAAATAAAAAATAAAATAAAAATCCTAAGTATGGGAAATCATTGCTTTCCATTATAACTGTGCAACATTAAAGCCTTCTAGAACCCCTTGCCCCATTTAACTTCTCAAGATTTTATTTCTTGTATTTAAAATGCTATTCACATAGACAGTATGAGCAGAAAAAAATAAATGTTTTCCAAGGTACACTGATGTGACAGAAGAAGTCCACGAAGTCCAGTTTAGTCAGTATCGGTCCATTTAACAATGGCCCAAAGCAGGTTGGAAGTATTACCATATTTCTCTTCATAAAAGGTAGATTCAGCTTATTTACAAAACTCAAAGTACAGTCATTTGAATAATCTTTAAATAGACTCCTTATGATTTACTTTATTTTCTAAAGATTTCTTCTTCAGTGCCAACTCAAATGGTCAAGGTAAACAGTTTAGATAAAACTGCTTAGATGAATTCCTGCACAGAATAAAGTCACTTCAAATCTATTATCTCTAATGTGCTTTTAAGAAAAAACCAAACACCAGGCAGCTGGCGGTAAACTGACCTGCACCGTCTGGTGCACACAGTCCTACCACAGCAACGCCGTGCTGCTGGGATCCATTCTGCTGCACTTTATCAGAAGTGGGAGAAAAATGGAAAAACAGAATGAAAAATGCCAAATTAACATTTTCAAGTGGAGCCCTTTAAACTCAGGAAACCAAAAACTGTTATAAGAGAACGAGAGCTATCCTCAATGAAATGTCAGCGCCCAACTCCTCCTGCACTTTACACACGTCTCACCGGCTCCTCAGCACAAAGGTGGCCTGAGGTTTGTCCGTCCCATCTCATACAGGACAAAATTTAGAAATTTTCCTAAGGTCGCATTTAATGGTAAAGTGAAAATTCAAACCCCAGATTTTCTAATCCTAAAATTCTTACGTGAACTCTTGCATGGCTAAGGAATAAGCAAAACTGATATGAAATCATATCCATCCGCATTTATTTATGAGGGAGACAAAATATATCCCTGTCGCCTGGTGCCTTTCAGAGTTAGATCCTGTGCTGAACTCCATTTCTGCCTGGCCTGCAGACCCTTGCCTGCCCACCCTTGCCTGCCCTAGGTTTAATGCAACTTCCTGGGGTCACTTTCTGACCTTGCCTGATTCCTCTTTCTCCTGAATTCTCTTAAATTATTCTTTGTCTTATACCTTCACTTCAAACCATTCCATTATCCAGAAATATGACTCACTGGCTGCTGGTAGCAATGATGGCTGTACAATTTCAAACACATGGATAAAAGGCATGAAAAAAATAAATATACATGTATTTTAATATACAGATATGTTAACATTTCTAGGCTTGGGGAAGCTGTGCACATTAGTTCAGATGTTGAGGAGGCCACATTATGACTTATAAGCCTGGACTCCTGAGTCAGACTGTCTGGGTTGGGGTCTAAGCTCTACTGGCTGTTAATTATGTGACCTGTACACAATTTTACTTTTTCCCAATCTGCTGCTTCTGTTCCTTCTGTTGTAATATGAGATAAAAGATGTGAAATACCCAGCCCCTCCACTGGTCTGTACCTGGGAGGCCAGCCTCACCCACAAGGTGACTGCAGGCATCTCAGCAGCACCGACAGCTGCAGACTCCCCATGGACCTCAGTCTTGTGACATGTCAAAGATGGTACATAATGGAATAGCTATTTGAGCTTTTAGATCAGAGTGTTTGGGTTCAAAATCATACTTCCTGTTTACCGGCTATGTGATTTTAAGCAAATTACTTCATAACTCAGAGTATCTTCACTGTCAATGAGATGAGGATGATAATAATACATAGTTCTTTGTGTTCCTGGTATGAAGATTCAATCAAGCAGTCCAGGTTTAACACTGGGCATAGCAAAAACAAACCTTTACTCTGATCATGACTCAGCGAGGCCAGCATTCCCCTACGTGCATTCTGTCAGGCACCAGTTTTGCAGAATGTTAATGCCGTATTACTAAAAAACAAAGTGGGGGATATACTTAGAAAATTCTGAGAGCAACAAATTTAATCAGATACTTTCAACAAGAGGCACATTCTTAAATATGCCTTTTAAGACACATTTTCTGGGAATCTTCCTGGAGTAACATAGGATACCTATAGCTCAGGAAGCCTCTTAGGTAAATAGTCCAGGTTAGTATTCTTCTGGGTAAGCCAAATGCCCATTTCAGATCTTCCATTCTATTGCCTTAGTTTCCTCTCTCAGCAACATTACTGTTAGCTTTGTTTTAAGATTCTTCTCTTTGTCCACATTTTTTTCAACCACCCTCCCGCCCCTTGTGCAGCCCGTCCCTGCCACTGGATTGTACTATGTACCAGATGGGAGCAGAAAGGGCTGCTCATCTGACAGCAAGAGCTGCTTAGCATAGTTCCTGATAATCACTTTCCCAGAGCAAATGGCCTCTGCTCCAAGGGCAATGACCCATCATTTTTTCCACACCATCCTGTGCCCACCCGAGGGAGTGACAGAGCTGATAACTAGACACATGGAAACAGAAACGCCCAGAAATTTGCCAGGCTGTGCTGTCACAGTAAAGAAAGAAAGGAGAACGTAGGTCAACTTTTGGAAGGCTGTAACAACTGCTGCTCTTACCCCGCATGCCACCTCGATTCCCATCCAGTCAATCACCACGAGTGTCAGCATTACCCCTGAATATGCCTTACATGAGTACACTTGTATCTACCCAGTGCAATATGCAATTCAAACCACCAAAACTTCCCACGGCCACAGTGTCCTCACGGGACTCCTGCCCACAGGGCCCTCCTCCGGCCCGGATGCCAGCTGCTATGTCTGCCTTTTCGTTACCTTCTTTATGTGCAGTACTTATTGCTAAGTGCCCGATAAGTATTGTTGACTGAGTGTGATGAATGTAAGTAATGTTGACTTTATGCTGTAGCCAAAAAGCTACCTATGATTTTGAGACATCCTTACTTAAACTCTTCACATGATTCCCTTCTATGCTCAGGAAACAAAAAAAAAAGTCAGAATCCTCAGGGGGTTATAAAAATATTATAGTGGAATTTAAAAAAAAGTTTTGGTTCTTTTTCTATGTCTCTAATCTTACTTTATGCCATCCCTCCCCATCTCTCTGTCCACACACACACTCATGGTCTATATTTTAATTCTATAAAACATCTTTAATGGCTCCCAGCTAAATCTCGCCTCCCAGGCTGACCTGGAGGTGCAAGTGGGGATTCCTCCCACAGGGTCTGCTCCAAGCTGTGGTGAGTGCCGTCCTCGACGCACAATAAACACTCGACACAGGGTCACAATCCACTTCCTACCTCCTTCCATCACTCTCATACATGAGTCCCAAAGACAAAGACCACACCGCAGGTGCCTGTGAACAGCACAGGGCCTAATCCCGAGTCCAGCTTAGAGACTAGTAAGTATCTGGGGAGTGCTGCTGGTGCCTTCTGGCCAAGTATATTGGGTAGCTGTCAATAAGAGGGGGTGCAAGTACGCGTCATACCCCTAAAATGAAATTAGGAGAGAACAAACAGGAAGAGAGAGAGAAAGGAGAACGGGTGTGGGAAATTGAGAAGAACATGAGAAGGGGACAATCCGGTTCTGAAAGCGTCTCGTTCTGATTTTTAGTAACAGCCAAGTTTGGGCATAGTGACATGTGATGCAGTGACAGAGGACTGTTGACAAAGGGACAATTTTCTCTTTCCCCTTCAAGGGAAAAATCTGAAGGGTACATTTCTTCTTGACCTTGTACCAGATCGCATGTGGAAGGGACTTTCCCCCTCACTCTATTTGCTAACCACCAGGTCCCAGTTTAAAAATTTCTAGCACATCTTGGAATTGTCACATTCATCTGTAAAAACAGCAAAATTTAAGTGAATTTTACAAGAGCAAAAACCGAGTGAAAAGAAACTGGAAACTGAAGGAGAAACACACAGAGAAGACGAAACCTTGAAATTGCTCCCCCAGCAGCAGCGGGTCGCTGGGAAGGGGGAGAATTGAGTGATGGTCCCCTTGGCAGGGAGGATGCTGCAGTGGAAAGCTGTCAGTGTGCAGGGTGACGATTAAATCTCCTGGACTGCCTCCCACTCGTCACTGCTGTGCCACATGCTTCTGTTACATGCAAGAGATTCAGACTTTGGGGTTATTTGAAATCTTTCCCCACCCACTAATGTTAAAAATGCGTTTAATTATGAAAAAAAAAAAAAGAGGCAAGAATTATAAGCCCTGTGTGCTGTAAGAACAATCATTTCCCCATAAAAAGAGAAAGTAAATTTAACTGGTGTACAGACCCAAATGTGGGGAGAAAAAAGCATGAGGAGCCCAATACAGACAGGAGATAGGAACAGGGGCCTGGAAGCTGGAACCTGGAAGCACCTGGCCTCCCTTGGAGCTTAAGACACTTCTGTGGAAAGAAAGGTTCTGTAAGGCAAATACATTCTTAGGTCTTTTTAGAAGATTTATGTACACTGACCTAACATTCAGACAAACCTGGTGTTAGCTAATCCCAGGGCACAGAATCTAATACAGAAATCAACCCTTAGGGTAGAATATTCCAGCTGATAAGGCCAGTGCCCTTTCTCCTTACAGGGACCAGACAGATCTTTATGAAATGTAAATCAGATCATATGACCCCTCCAGCTCCACCATTTGTTTAAAATCTTAGAATTTACCTACTCATTGAAATGAGAGATTTTGTTATCTAACTTTCTCACGGAGACAAAGCCAGACACCATTTCCCTCTCGACCTCTCTGACCTCACTCCACATCTGAGGTCCCTCACGCCCCCTGCTTCAGCTGCATGGGCCTCCCCTCCGTCCTTTCTGCCAGGCTTGCTCTAGGCCTTGTACTGAATGTTCCCTCTGCCTGGAAGGCTCTTCCTCCTGTCCCTGCATAGTGCTCAGTTTTACATAATCTCCTCCACAGACGTCCAGAGCCCCCTGTCCTCCAGGGTCCAGAGAGACACACCCTGCGGTCTTTCTCTCTCGACATCCTTTATTCATTTGTGCAAATGTTATT